ACCTGGTGGGGCTGTAAACTTGGCTAATGTTATTCAACGGCGTGAGGACTCAGACTCTTCATTTGGGTTTCCAGCTCTCTTGGCTTTGCTCTCTGAAGGATGAGAGTCAGCCTGGTTATAGAAGTCTCTAGGTTTCCATCTTTTTTTTTTTTTTTTGTAAGGTTTTATTCACCTATTCATGAGAGACTCAGAGAGAAACAGAGACAGGCAGAGTTGGAGAAGCAGGCTCTCTGCGGGGAGCCTGATGCAGGACTCGATCCCAGGACTCCAAGATCATGACCTGAACCAAGGGCAGATGCTCAACCACTGAGCCACCCAGGTGCCCCTCCAGGTTTCTATCTTTGGCTTGAATTGAGACTTTAAGGATTTGAGCTTGTTACTCTCTCTTCTAAATTATTCACTGCCATTAATAGTAGCCACCTATCTATGGCCTTGACTTTCTTTACCGATCATACTTTAGGATGGCAGGGATGCAGTCTTCCAGAACTGGGCCTTCAGTGGGCGTGCCAGTCCAGGTGTCTTTTAGGGAACTAATTCACTGCATGTCACGGGCTGCTGGGTTCCCATCTCATAATATTAGTAGGACTTTCACTACTTCCTACCCTCTCTCTCTAAGACAGATAACCAATCACAGATAGTCCCCAGTTCCCTACTTCTCTAGTTGGCAGTATGCTCTCTTAGCACCAAATTCCATATCAGTAAGGAATTTTTCAGTGAGAAGTAATGAAAACTGGGTCTGTTCTAAGGAGAAAGAAAATGTTTTGAAAGCATGTTGGGGACTCCTAGGATCATGGGAAGTTGGAGGATTCAATTTGGAAAATGGATATGAACAAACGCCAAAATCTGCAGAGCCAATAAGCAGTATGACAACCATTTGATCATTTTGAAGCATTGCTGGGTGCTGCTGTGTAGTTCCATCGTGTTCATCCCATATTCTTAGCACAGCTTGTGCGTGTTACTTAGGTGAGCGTATCTGGTGGGCTAGCATCAGGGCCCCACACCTTGGTGGGAGCAGAAGGGATACCTGCTTCTCTAAGTTACTGGGCAATAAGGCACTCCAACACAATATTGGGTCCCCATAATGGGAGAAGAATGGATGTGCTGCATTCTGGAGAGCTAAAAAGAAGAAAAGTAGAATGGGTAGATTTACAAATAGTCTCTTGGGGGAGAAAAGAGTGAGCCAGAATTCCACATAAATGTAGTGTTGTAGATTTATAAATTCTGGGAACATAGCCACACACTGAATTCCAGATACACCTTGGCAGCGTGATGTATCAGGGCTACTACTATTTGAATCTAGCTGGTCTGGCCTTCAAGGAGCCTAGGCTTGTGGGAAAACAAACAAACTCAAGATTCTCTGTTACATTCTTGATGTTCTGAGGCTGATAGTCAAAGGTCCTTCCTTAAAAAAAAAAAAAAAAAGGCCCTTCCTTGATGAAGACAATGGATTGGACAGTTAGAAACATGGAGAGACCCTTAAATGTGTCTTTTTGGTCCCCGTTCTCTTCCTAATGTCTAGAAGGTTTAAAAAGAAGAAAATAAAAGTATTAATTAATGATCATGGAAAGATGAAGAGCAATCAATTTTCTTCATGACAAATGTTGTGGATGACAGGAAATGAAAGAGGGAAAAACAATGTGAATTATGTAGATTTGCAGCCAGCTGACAGATGTGGGCTAATGGCTTGGCCGTTGAAGAACTTTCAAATCCTTTTTCACTAAAAAAAAAATTAAAAGATGGACTCTTCTCAGTACCCTGCAGGTACCCCTGGATCATTTTATTCATTAATGCATCAGAGATTTTTTGGCATTTACTGAGTGCCAAATATTGAAAGACAAATTGCATTTCTCTGATAGCCCTGGGAGGTACTGTGGTAGGTGGTCTCCAAAGGTAGTTCCCATGGATTCCTTTTGTTGTTCCCCTCCCCTTGAATCTGGCTGCCTACTGACTTGCTTTGACCAATAAAATGCAACAGAAGTGATGTGTGGCAGACCCTACCCCGGCCTTTAAGGGGCCTGGCAGTTTCTTCTGTCTGCCCCAAGGCCGCCATGCTGCCAGGAAGCCCAAGCTAGCTCAGAGGAGTGCTAAAAGCACCCGATGAGCCCATGAAGCCTTCTTAGACCTTCTGGCCCAGCCCAGCCACACTCAATGCCACTGAGTGAGTGCATCTAGTTGATGCCACATAAAGCACAGCCACCTGGCTGAGCCCGTTGGCCCCCAAAGATAATAAACAGTGGTAGTTTAAAGCTGCTGTTTTCCATGGTTGGTTTTCCGGCAACGGATAACTAGAGCAAGTAGCAGGTTGAAGGAATCAGGACTTTTGGGTAGGCTAGGGGAAAGTGGTGAGTCCTGAAAACAGTGGCATGCAACCTGCTGGTAGCGGGGAGGCAGGAGGGACTCGGAAGGAGCCCTGATGCAGTGGAAGAAGTGTGCCTCACACTCCTATGTAATACTTAGTTGCCCGTAGAACTCACATCCGCCCTTCCACTGTAGGTTGCCTTTGCTCTCCTCATACTCCTCCTTCACTTCCAGGTCCCATGTGTCCTCCCAAACCAAGCCGTCTGGGAATCAGTCAGGTACTATTTATGTGTAAAATGAGGATAGAACTCGAGGCAATGCTTGGAACTGTCAAGGCAGGATGGGGAAACCAGATGCAGACAGACAAGTGGCTGAGTGTCCCCCAAACATCACCTTCTTTACAGCTATGCCTGAGAACAGGCTATCCTATGTCAGAAAAATGTGCTGTACTTTGGTTAAGAATCTTTTATTTATTTAAAGTCCCTTAATCACCTTCAGGGCACTGCATCAGTCCCTGAAAATTCAAAGGTGAAAATAGTTCTTAATTTCAAGATGTTCATCACTGCTCAGTGGGTGAATCCTGGGGCTGTGGCATGACTTGGCATCATACAGGTTACTTAGACGCGTCGCTAAGGACTGTATACCTAGTAAGAGAATTACTTTTATCTCTTTACTCTATTAAAAAAGCACTTGATTCATTTATCCACCCCGAACCCACCGGTCTTGGTCCTTCCAGACATCAGTCCACCCTGCTGGCTTCCCTGTCTAGATCTACTTTTCCTAGATCTAACTTTGGTCATGTAATTTGAATGTGGTTGGTGCCTGCCCGATGCATCACAGACTTACTCTGTGGTGGACCTGAGCCAGGTGATTCTGCAACTCCAAAATGGGGCCCCAGAGTTCATCATGTTAGTTTTCCAAAGATGACAGTAAAATGGAACTGCAAATCTATAAAGTAGCCTAATGGCCTTTTTACACTCATTAGAAACCTTTCAGAATTCTGGTTCTACTGAACAGCTACTAGTTTTTTTGGTGCCAAGTTGTGTCTTCTGTCAAATTGGTTTTTGAAATAACAAGGATCAGACTCTTTCAAACTGCTTAAAAGAACAAAATGGATCCAGATAATGGTAAGCTCTAGAAATGTAGGGTAAACAGCTGAAGAGAGAAGCAAAACATTTAAATACTCAGATAGGTTCAGGAAAATCAAGTACTTAAGGCCAGAGAATACAATGTCTCCGCTCATGTGTTAGCAATGAGTTTCCTCTTGTTGGGAAAGAGAATTATAGGGAATGAAAATGGCACAGCTCTAAAATCGCAACACCAGCCATTGGAAATTCCCACCGTTCCTTCGCTCTTGATGAAACCATCTAAATCGATGACATGAAGAAGTTAGTAAGGAAAGTCCCTTTGGCAGCTGCTGGTGGCATGTGGATGGTTGCTGAGCCCGTGCCCCACTTTCCAGATGCTTGTGATGGCTGCCTGACTGCACCTGGCCGTGTGTGAGGCAGTCAATGGCTGGTTTCTGGTTGGGACTGGTCCTCTCCTGCCCCATGGCCCTTCCTAAATGTTGCCCAACCTGGCATTAATTGAGCCATGTGACCTTGGGCAAGTCAACTTCTATAGACCTCATTTTTCTCATCTATAAAATGAGAGAGTCGGATTAGGCCCCTGAATTTATAAATAAGTGTTATTAAAAAAAGAGAACAAAAAAATTAGAAAAAGAGAACAATGTAGGGAACAAGACAGTGTATGTGCCAGGCCCACTTGGGTCATAACCTGCTACTTTTTGCTTCTCACATGGAAATCTTATTAGAGATTCTCTAAAACTGTGATCTGATCCAGCTTTAGGCAAGTTTCCCCACCCCCCTCCTCCTTTTAGAAAGAAAAGCCAAGCTCAACCATTTGGGATTCTGCATTCCCGCTCTTTCTCCTCTTCTTTATTTGAGGCCCATTGCATCTCCTCAGCGGTTCTTTCAGTGCATTTTTTTTGTATTGAAAATATACATTTTGTTTATATAAGACACAATTTCAAAATAACGTTATATAAAATATGTAGCTATAATAGACAAGGAGTATAAATAGAAGTGCATATATATGGAAAATATCACTGAGTTCAGTTTCCTTCTTTCTGAATACTTAAATCAAGTGGATTAATGGAGCATAATACATCTTTGCTCCCTTTCAGTGCATGCAGAACACCTAACTAGAGGGACAGCGAGTGTTTTGGAACTGCAACGCTGTTGTCATCCTTGTAGACATCTCCTAAGCCAGGAGGAGACTCATAATTATCTTAGAGCCTCATGATTGTCTTATAGCCTCCTCTGTAAACTGCAGGTCAGGATGAGGGGTGGAATAGTCAAGCTGCTAAGCTATCCTGAATAAATGTCACAGTGACATGAAAGGAAGGCCGAGGCCTTCGACCACTCTCAGGAAGGCTTCAACTGCTGGGATTTGGGGGACGCCAGCCCTATACCGGAGGCCAAGGAGGGCCGGGCAGGGCAGGTCCCAACCATCCAACATGAGACTGAAGAGCCTATAAATACAGGAGGTGTCTTGAGTGGGTGCCGTCGATAAAATGATGCCAAGGCATTTGTCTTCCTGACTGGCTCTTTCCTGGCACCCACCACCTTGAGTTGTTTCCAGGTCCTCTCTGGCTATGGCAGGGTTGGCGCCTTCGCTTCAGCCTCTGCTGCCCTCAGGTCCCCCCTGGAGTCTTCTAGGTTGTGCGGGTAGTTTTCTGCAGTGTCTTCTTTGCCATTGGCTCCCCTCGTCATTGGCACCTCTTCCATGCTTTCCATTTCAACCTGGGGTGTCTGCGAAGTTTGCCTGTAAAGCAGATCATTCACAGATTTTGAAAGGAGGAGAGGGTCTCCCTGAGTGAACAGGTCATTCCCAATGAACACTCAGATGGAGTAAACCTAGCTTACGTCCATTCAACCTGGCATTTCAATCTGACTTTGGTGTTTTAACCCCCTCAGCCTCCTAAGATTCCCCAGTGCTACTGCTGGAGCAGCTTACCCCATCTTCTCCAATCCTCTGCTAAGAAGCAGTAGTTCAAAGGGCAGGAACAAAAGGGAGAGAGTACCCAGGAGCCCAGCTAAGCCACATGTGATCATCTTGGCAAAAATGATGTCACCTTCATCAACCTTTTCAGACAGTTCTTGGTACTTGGTATGTGTTTCAAGAAACGTATATGAATCGATTCCTGAGTAATGAAGAGTGGGGAGAAGCAGAATATGTTAATTCCACATGTTTCCCCGTCATTGAAGGACTTATGTTTTTAGGGCCTGGGTCAGCAGTGTCTGGGTCAGCAGTTTCCTCCACGGATTATAGCATCTACCTCTTGAGGAGAGGCAAGTCTTTAGGACATTTCAAAGTAACACTTTGAATCCAAAGAAAACAAAACCACCAATTTGAAGTGATATCTGCACCCCATGTCCACTGTGGTGTTATCTACACCCACCAAGATATGGAAGCAACTAAGTGTCCATCTACAGATGAATGGATAAAAAGGATGTGGTGTGTATATACACAATGGAGTATTTCTCCACCAAAATAATGGAGATCTTGTCTTTTGTGACAGTGTGAATGGACTCAGAGGGTATTATGCTAAGTGAAATAAGACAGAGAAAGACAAATACTATACAATTTCACTCATTTACGGAATATAAAAAACAAAAATAAAACAGACTTGTAGATACAGAGAACAAACATGGTTGCTAGAGGGGAGGGGCTGAGGGGCAGGTGAGGGGCAGGTGAGATAGGGGAAGGGGATTAAGAGGTACAGTCTTCCAGTTGCAAGATAAATAAGTCACAGGGATGTGATGTACGGCACAGGGAATACAGTCAATCATATTGTAGTAACTTCATTTGGTTGTCAGATAGTAATTAGACTTATGGGGATCATCTCATAATGCATAAAAATGCTGAATTCATATAATGCACACCTGAAACTAATAGGATATTGTATATCATCCCCACTTCAATTATCCGGTACATAAGCACTTTGAGCTCCTTGGAGTGAGTGCTAAACTGTAAATCAGGGCTCTAGGCCAATGTACTGAAGATAATCTGCTGAAAGCCAATTTGTTGAATGACAAATCTACCTAATAACCCATTTGTAAAAAAAATAAGTATACAGCAAAGAATTGCTTCACAGAATGTACCAAGTAGTAATGCTTTTCAGGCTTACCAATTCTTAAAGATATAATTTATCAATGTTTCTTTTTTTTTTAAAGATTTTATTTATTTATTTATGAGAGACACAGAAGGAGAGGCAGAGACATAGGCAGAGGGAGAAGCAGGTTCCCTGCAGGGAGCCCAATGTGGGACTTGATCCCAGGGCCCTGGGATCATAACCTGAGCCAAAGGCAGATGCTTGACCACAGAGCCACCCAGGCGCCCCAATTTATCAATATTTCTTTACTATAGTCAGTGAATATTGATATTTTCATCTTACCAGCAAGTTTATTGGCCATATATACCAAATTTACAAATTCTTGTTAGATTCTTTTTTTAATGTGTTATTCTTAAAAAAGATTGTGTACATTTTTTAAGCCAATGAGTACAATCATTATAATCTCTTAAGAATGTAACTCCAGGGATCCCTGGGTGGCGCAGCGGTTTGGCGCCTGCCTTTGGCCCAGGGCACGATCCTGGAGACCCTGGATCGAATCCCACGTCGGGCTCTCGGTGCATGGAGCCTGCTTCTCCCTCTGCCTGTGTCTCTGCCTCTCTCTCTCTCTCTCTGTGTGACTATATAAATAAAAAATAAAAAAAAAGAATGTAACTCCAAATACAACATTTCATGTAGAAACTTAGTTGTAAACACTTTGAAAATCCTTTTAAAAGTCATTTTTGATTTTGCCAACATTTCAGCATTTGGGGGACTATTCTGACAGTTTTTTGAGTAATAATACATTAACCTTCATTTCTAAATGATCTCTCAGGTTTGTGGCATTTCTTTTGGTTGGGATGGTATTAATAGCTTTCAAAGATGTAAATTTTTATTTAATTTTTAATTTTTATTTTTAAAAGATTTTATTTATTTATTCTGAGAGGCACGGAGAGAGAGAGAGGCAGAGATACAGGCAGAGGGAGAAGCAGGCTCCTCAACAGGGAGCCTGATGTGGGACTTGATCCTGGGACTCCAGGATCACACCCTGAGCCAAAGACAGACGCTCAATTGCTGAGCCACTCAGTCATCCCTGATGTGAATTTTTAGATGACTTTTTCATTTTGGCCTCACAGTAGCATTTCACGGAACATTCATTTTGCCAAAGTGAGGCTTAAAGGGTGGTATAACTCTTATACTGATATATTTAGAAAAGAATTCTTTATTACTAGCAACTAAAAGTTTAGTTTCAACAAATCTGATTTCCACTGTTCATTGTATAATGTTGAGGAAGGGTCCAGAACAGCCGTATCAATATGGAATGCTGGTTACTGGTTTCTAACTGATAGATGTGTGAAATGAAGGTGGATTTGCCATTTGAGGTTTTAATGATAAAAATGCCTCAAGATTAGAATAATAATAAAAACTGACATTTCAGCAAGCTGCAGAAACGCTTTTGTCACAAATGCTGAAATACAGAATTTCAGTTATTAGAAATACGAAAGTCAGGCTGACATGAATAAGCACATAAATAAAGTGTGCCTATATTTCATGAGTGCATTCAAGAAAATATATTCATGCTCATATTGTAGCAATTGCATATCTATCAGATTGGTTACCAGATACATTCTTTGCTTCTGAAAAGGAAAGAAAACTGTTCATTCTTTTCTTTCCTTCTGGTAAACCTTTGTTACCAGTTAGGTCCTGGCTGCTGTGCAACTGACTGGTGTCCTGCGAAGGGCCGCCCAAGGCTGGCTCTCCTTTTGGCCAAGACGGGCTTGTGGGTGAGCATGAGAGCCTGCCTCAATAGCCAGGAAGGTAGGAAGGTGGGAAGGCCCACAATCATTGTGATGCAGCTCTTTTCTCAGAGGGAAGCAAGAATCTCAGCCAGTAAGAATCTCGGAGTCTCTTGGCGCTACTCACCTCATTTTTTTGTAACATACCAGAAGAAATACCACACACACTACACAGAGCACAGTGACAGGTGTGAAGATCGCCGCTGCAAGAGAACAGAACTAAGCTGTCACGAGGAAAGTCGTGGTAGCATTTCTAAGAATCTGAGAGTTCTTCCCAATTTACATTCCTGCAGAGAGATCCAGATGCCTTCCCAGCGAGCTTACTGTTATTAACATTTCTTGAGGTCCGTGCAGTCCGATCTACTCTCCTTTGGGGCAAAAAGTACAGTCTTTCCCCACCAATACCACCAGTTCATTTGACTCATGTCATGATCTCAGGGTGGTGGAATGGACTCCGTGTTGGGCTTCTGGCTCAGTGGGGAGTCAGCTGGAGATCCCCTTCCTCTCCCTCTGTCCCTACCCCCACCTCCTGTGTGCGTGCTCTGTGTCTTTCTCTCAAATAAATAAAATCTTAAAAAAAGGAGTCAGATGCTTAACCAACTGAGCCACCCATATGACCCTATCGTTGTTTTTTTATTGACAACTTTTTATGGTGGAGAAAGAGTGGTGAGGAGAGAGAGGAGGCGCTGTAAGAGAGGTGTTACAGATAGGAGGAGAGTCAGGTGATGGCTTAGGAGAAGGGAACCATCCTGTTTGGGCTGAATTGAAAGGAACAGCCTGGAGTGATGGCAGCACTTGCAGGTAGGAGGTCAGCAGTCCTAGGACATTTGAGATTTATTAGACAGGATAGAAAGAGGGGGATCTCCATGTGGAAGCAAGAGGGCTTAGCCCGAGGGCCCGATAAACCTAACTATTTTAAGAACACTTGCATTAGGGTGCCAGGGTGGTTCAGTTGGTGAAGCATCTGCCTTCAGCTCAGGTCATGATCTCAGGGTTTTGGGGTCGGATTGAGTCCTGTGTGGGGTTCCCTGCTCATCAAGGAGCCTGCTCCTTCCTCTCCATTGGCCTCTCCCCCTCCACTCATGCTCTGTCTCTTGCTTTCTCTTTTTCTCAAATAAATGAAATCTTAAAAAAAGTAAAAACACTTGCATCAGTAATAAGCTCCAGGCAGAGTTGGCCAATTTGCCTTAATATTGTGAAATCACCCTGCAAAAAACACCCACCTGCCCTACATGAAAGATCTCAGCCCTGAACATCTGGGGTGTGAAGCCAGGGGTCTGACTGGGGACCATGAGTCACATCTAGATATTAAGCTTTCTGGACTTATGTCTGTACAACCAGCATACGGCCTTGTGTACAGGATAAATCTCCCACCTTGGACTTTCGAAATACAACTCTGTTGGAAAACAGAAAGACAAGGATGTGGGGAAACACTCAGATTCTCCACCAGGTAGGAGTAAAATGGTTCAGGTTTTCTCAAGGACAAGTGGCAACATATAACAAAAGCTTTAGAGAAGACCATACCCATTGACTCTCTAGTCCCACTTCTAGGAATTGATTTAAGAAAATGGGCAAATACATTCAGGATTATTCACTAAAGTATTATTTAAAGCAATTTTTTGAGTGTTAACCTCAATCTCTTATTAATAGAAAATTAACTAAATAAACTGTAGTCCACCCATGCGTGGGAATATCATTCAACTTGTGAAAATTATGGAATGAATCTATTAACATGGAAGGATGTCCCTGTCCCCAATATCTTAAGTGGAAAAAAACTGTCTGGGGTAAAAATGAACCAAAAAATAGTGTCTCGTAAGCCATGTGTGTGCCTATATCCATAGGACAGCCTTGAAGAATAGATACCAAAGTCTTAAGTAATGGGGGGGGGGTGGATTGATTGTGGATAATCTTTATTTTCTTTTTTAAAAACTTTGCTTTTCCCCTGATATTTCTGAAATGGTGCTGTCATCAGAAGAAACAATGAAGTTGTGAAAGCAAATCTACTTGTGCCTCAGTAAATATAAATAAGAATAGAAAAGTCCCACAGGAAATAACAGGAAGCATAGCAAATTAGTGAAAAATGTTTTGAGTTTTCAGACTTAACATTAATCATCATTATGATTGAATACCAGAAATACTTTCTAAGCAGAGATGGTGTACGCTGGGCTAAACTATTTCTTCACATTGACTAATCAGCTAGGCATGCATTTACTGTCCATGGAGGGATTTATTGGAAAAGGCCAGTTGATGTCAACTGTAGTTCTACTTTCACAATGCCTCTTCCTGCTTCTTCCGTATGATAAGCCTGTTGACTCCCAACTCCAGGGAGAGGAGGGCTTTTGATCCAGTGATGTGACTGAGCACTTAGAATCCAGTGTCAAACTCATGCCCTTGACCTCTTCCTCAGTTATCTCCAGGCAAATTGAGTAAAGAAATAGAAACCAAAATCACTAATATGATAGGTAAACATATCAGTTGCCTTTTGTGTTTCCTACAAGATGCATGGGTTGGAGAAAAAGCAAGAGAGTGAGGTTTGGCGAGCCGGAGGAGAACTAGACTAGAGTCTGGGGGAGGAGGGAGAAAAAGTGGATTATTGCTCAGGAGGCTGAGAAAGGCCAGTAGCTCCACACCTTGACTTAAACCCCACAAAGCATGTTGGAGCTAAAGTGAAGAAGGTGGCCAAGGCAGCCAGTGGCCACTTTTCAGTGTGAATGATGAAAAGGTCCTCTGAGAACATGGGAGGTCACCATTCCTTAGCAGTACTTGCAAACTAGGTCATCCAGGGAGTGCTGTTTCTGAGTGCTGGTGTCCCTGCAACTGATGAAGGAAGTTTTGAAGTAAGAATATCCATCCATTGTTCCTGGGCAGTGTTTCTCTTCTGTCTCTTACTGTACTAAGCACGTAGTAGGTGTTGGGTTTAGAGTAGGCACTCAATAAATACTTAATTGGTTGAATTAAACCAGTTACTGTCCATAAATTGAGGTACTTGTGACGTGCCATTTACTTCTCAACAAGAAATCAGCATTTTGTTGTAACTTAGGACCAATATGGTGTAGAGTTAGAACTCAATTTATTTGAATAAACGGATGAATGATATAATATAGAGCTAGCTCCTATTAAAGGCTGAGTATAGCAGCAGCATATTTATTTCAGATATGAAAGATGAGATGCATAACACAGTTTGAAAAATTAACTCTTCCCTCCTAGTGTATTAAATGAACATGGGAGTGCAAACACTGTCATAGATGACATTCTGGCCTTTTCAGTTATAATCAGGAAGTTCTCGAGAATAGCCTAATCAAAGATCAGATATTGGATATTGGAATAATTGAATGAAATTATTGATTAAAAGGGCTTCCCAGGGGCACCTCATGGCTCAGTCGGTTAAGCATCTGACTCTTGGTTTCAGCTCAGGTCGTGATCTCAGGCTTGTGAGATTGAGCCCTGTATGGGGCTCTGTGCTCAGAGGGGAGTCTGCTTGAGATTCTCTCCCTCTCTCTCTGCACCTCCCCCCAGCTTGTGCTCTCTCTCTCTCTCAAATAAATAAATATCTTTTAAAAAAGGCTGCCAAATGAGCCTGTAGATATTTAAGACAATGAAATGATGAACCATACTTCCTAAACATTTACTAAAATGTTAAAGTCCTCAAGTTCACATATCATTTGCTCACCCATTTACTATTTATTGAGCATCTACCATTTACCATTTTCTGTTGAACTACAAAGAAAAAAACACTTTAAAAAGCTGTGATAATCATTTATGTAACTTATTTTAAAAATTATGATATTGGTAATTATCAATGGGCTGATGAAAATATTAAGTTAATCAGCATTTCCTGAACGACTACTATGGTAAAGCATGTATATTTGCTTACAAACATGGTCAACTGGTTGCTTATTCACGCAGAAATGACAACATCTACCAATGCCCAAGGAGCCAGCAGGTGTCTCTGCCATTTGTACCTGACAGGGGAATCCTCTTGGGTCTCAGGTGGCTTGGATTATGTACTACATACCTGGCAGGCATCATCAATAAGTGTTTTTAGAAAATTAGCATGATTTTAATGTCAGTTTACACCTTCTTAGCTGATAGAACTTAAATAACATTGAATGAAATAGAACTTATTTTTATTTCTATGCTGACAATTACTTGATCTGTCTTGTTAGTGCTAACATGTTTATCTTGAAGCCGGAAATATTTAAAGCTTTTGCTTTTGTTTTTTTAATCTCTATATTTCCACAATTTCTTGCACAGAGCTATCTTTGCCTATTGCAAGTGTTAGTGCTTATTACATTATACTTCAGAATGTGGGAGAAAGTTTCTGATATTTCAATCTAATGAAAGTCATGAACTGGAAAAAATATAAGATGATATCCCATAATAAAGTAGTTGTTTGAAAATCTACATGGGAAACATACCCCCCAGGGGCACCTAGGTGGCTCAGTGGTGGGCGTCTGCCTTTGGCTCAGGCCATGATCCCAGAGTCCTAGGATCGAATCCTGCATTGGGCTCCCTGAGGGGACCCTGCTTCTCCCCCTGTCTGTGTCTCTGCTTCTCGCTCTCTGTGTCTCTCATGAATAAGTAAATAAAGTCTTTAAAAAACCCGAAAAGATGCCCCCCCCCAATTTTATGTGTAGGATTTATCCTACAGATATACTTGCACATAGCAAAGGTTAGAAGGTTTTCCAATTAATTACTGTTTGTAACATAGCCAAGGAATGTAAACAGTCACATGTCCAAATAGGGGGTTGGCTACATAAATTGTGACAAATCCATATGCTAGGATATTTCATAGCTGTTTTAAAGAAGGAAGTGGTTTTTTATATATTGATATGGAGGATTCCTGAGATCTACCACTAGGTGAAAATCAGCAAGGTGTAAAATAGAATAAAATACTGATCTAGCATCAGGTTTCCTCCGTGAAGCTATTTATAGGTTGACTCTGAAAGGCTGTAGATATACATAAATCTGGTAGCAGGAGTTGCATTCTTCCTGCAAGGGGATTTTCAATGTGAGATGGGGCTTTTCGCTCTATATCTTTTTGTAATTTGTCATTTTTAAACCCTGTACAAATATTATCAATTCAAAAAAATGAATAAAAAAGCTTTTTAGAAAGGTTAATGTAGCATGTGACATAAAGAGAAAAGTTAGTTTGGCTACTTTACTTACTAGTTGCCTCTTAAGTGATAAACATATTTTTGTTTCAGCATCCTTGTCATGAAATCCCATTGGTTTTCCATGAAAATATTCTCCAGGGGGGGCTTTTTAAAATGTCTTGCCTTTGCATATACATTTTGATCATTTTAAAAACTACTCTGATCAACTGGCTGCTGAAATGACCGAAGCCACTTGGATGGCCTTTTTTTTTTTTTTTTTTTTTTTTTAAAGAGAGAGAGACTGTGAGCAGGGAAGGGGATGCCATGCCATGCCATGCGGAGGGAGAGGGAGACTCTCCAGCAGGCTCCAGGTTCAGTACAGAGCCTAACTTGGGGCTGGATCCCATTACACTGAGATCATGACCTGAGCTGAAAGAGTCAGAAGTCAGATGCTTAACTGACTGAGCCACCCAGGTACCCCTCACTTGTTTTGCTATTTTTTTTCTCTAGATGACACTGTTTTTAAAAAAGATTTTTTGAATTAATTAATTGATTGATTAATTTATTTATTTTAAAGAGACAGAGGAAGAGAGAGTGGGAGCAGAGGGAGAAGCAGAGGGCGAGGGAGAGAAGCAGATTCCCCACTGAGTGCAGGCCGAACGTGGGTGATGCGAGGTGATGCAGGGTGATGCGGGATGATGCGGGGCTCAATTTCATGACCCTGAGATCACAACCTGAGCTGACATCAACAGTTGGATGCCTAACCGACTGAGCAATCCAGGTGCTCCTAGATGATAGTTGGTGCAGATAAAATATAGCCACAAAAATATGAGTTATTCTCCAATAGGAAAACTAATACATAGAAAATAGAAATAACTTTTGTCTGTACGAAATTATAGTGGGGTTTTTTTTGGCTTATTGAAAACTTGTCAGACAAAAGTCTTTGATTCTTTCTTAGGATTGCATTTCTCTCTGCCTTCTGTCTCTTTTCTTCCACTTTCCTCCCCATCCTTCCTCTTTTTCTTTAAATCGTGGAATCGCTTTTCCACTCTCCTCTTCACACTCACTGGGTCATTCACTTTCTCTCCTAGCCTTAAAGTTATGTGTGTCTTCCATAAAACAGAAACCTTTTATACTGAGAAATTTGAGCAGTCCTCATGTAAGGTGCATCATGCTAACACCCTGTGAAAGATGAATGCGGTTTATGGCAGAATAACATCATTGTAATAATAACAGCAGTACGCACGTGTGGGTTTCTGGTAAGTCCTGGATGCAAGGCTAGCCCTACTTAGGGGAAGGAGGCTCTTTTGTGATGCGTCAGCTCTCTGGTTCCCACATCAGTAGCCTAACAGTAAGGAGCTACCAATATTGAGATAAATAGTTCTGTTAGAATCCATAAGTAGGGTGATCCTATAACTTATTATCTAAGCTGAATCACTTTTGAGAGTGAAAGGGGGATGCTGCTAGGGGCCGTACTGGGGCAGCACAGCATAAGCCAGAACTATCCCACGCCCTGAGACTGAAGTCTTATGGGCATAAACACTGTTAGAACAAGAAAAAAAGAAAAGACTTACCAGTCACAGCTCCGGAATTGTATGAATATGTACCTGCAGAGAAGAGACTGCAGCTCAGTTATTCCTGGAGTCCTAAGGGCACTTATTTCTCATTAAGCAGGAGGAGTTTTGGACAGTTTGGGTCCCATCTTAAAGCTTTGAGAGATTCATGGCTGGCAAAACCAACCTCCCTTTAGCAAAGAATAAGGATAGTTTATTTAGATGCTAGGCCATGCTTAAGAATCAAATATGCCCTGTTTGCATAGCAAAGGAAACCATCAACAAAACAAAAAGGCAACCTACTAAAGGGGAGGAGATATTTGCAAGTGACATCTCTGATAAGGGGTTAATATCCAAAATGTATAAAGAACTTTTACAACTCCGCACAAACACACACATACAAACACAAACACACATGCGAATAATCCAATTAAAAATGGGCAGAGGACCTGAATAGACATTTCTCCAAAGAAGACATACTGATGGCCAACAGACACATAAAAGGATTCTCAACATCCCTCATCATCAGGGAAGTGCAAATGTAAAACCACAATGAGATATTACCTTACACCTGTGAGAATACACACACACACACTATATATATATATACACACACACTATATATATACACACACTATAATATTGTGTATATATATTATATATAATTGTAATATATATTTAATATTTATATATATTTATCTATAATATATATTTATATATTATATATACACAATGTTGTATATTGTGTATATATTGCATATATATATAGTGTGTGTGTGTGTATATACATATACACAATATTAGCCATAAAAAAGAATGAAACCTTTCCATTTGAGATAACAATGGATGGATATAGAAAATGAGTGAAACAAGTCAAACAGAGAAAGACAAACACCATATGATTTCACTTAGATGTAGTATTTAAGAAACAGAACAAATGAACAAACAGACAAAAGCAGAAACAGACCCATGAATCCAGAGAACAAACTGATGGCTGCCAGAGGGGATGAGTGTGAGGGATGGGCAAAATGGGGGAAGGGGAGTGGGAGGTCCAGGTTTCCGGTGATGGAGTAAATAAGTTATGGGGATCAAAGACACAGCGTGGGAAATAGTCAGTGGTGTTGTGGTCGAGAAAAACACCCCACAGAGAATCAGATATGTCTTGACGGAAGATATAGATTTACCCAGAGCTTTTCCATCCCACAGAGTGTGAATCCAGACTGCAGAAGGCTTCCACTGTCCTCCCATATCAGGAGGAGGCAGATATTATTCAGACTGGCAAAGCCTCTGCCATGCAGGTCAATACGGTGAGCCTTGTCACATCCAGGAGATGGACTTTCTTTTCCATCTGGACTGAACCAGGGCAGAGCACAGAGGTTAGAGAGCAGAGCAGGAGACTGAGGGTTACTGAGTTGTCTGGACTTTGGATCGGATGGTATGATGCTATGCAGTCAGCTCCCTCTAGGTCTCCACCTGCACCTCAGAAGCAGCACATGGGCGGCTGACCTCTCCTAAAGTATGCGAAGCCAGTGCTAACCTGGCGTCTCCTGGGAGGCAGAGGGAGTGTGTTCCAAGGCCTTTGCTGTTGTCTGAGATGGGGCTTGGGAGGAGGGTTCATTACTGATCAGCCCTGTGGTTCCTGTAGCAGGAGGCTTTGACGGCATCGGCCTGGAGCCTGGCACAATAGTTGGCTTTGTGGCCACTTTGGTGTCTGACTTGGAAGTGAAAGTTGGCTCTGCAGGAAAGTGCAAGATATGGAAAACATAAATATTTAGAATAGTGTCTCTGCTCAGCTCCAGAAGAGAGTAGACTTAACACTTGCTCTGGTGAGTCCACGCTGGGCCAGCCCTCCCCCTCAGCACATTCCTCCATGGTTCTTTGGGAAAATCCCTTAACTATTCATCCATCTGGAATGGCCATGGGACTTTTGAGAATGCTAGGGGATCTACAGCTATTATGGTGCCTGTAAGTTGAAGATCCCATGGATTTGAGCAGACCTGGGCTGGTTTACTAGAGAAGGCACACAAGATGCTGTGAGAGTGTGCTCTCAAAAACTGAGCGTAACTATATTTGCCCAAGACATGTGGGTTGCGATTTTAGTTTATTTTTTTCCATGTTTGCATGCCACTTTGGAAATAAGGGGAAGCGTGAGATTCAGGCTGACTGGATCGAAGAGAGGGTCCTGGTTTTGCTCTGATCTAGAGGAGGGTAGCCTGCCTTGTGTCCTGGTCCTCACCCTCCCTGGCAAATGGCTGCCCCCAAACTGGGAAGCATGGTAAAACAACTTCACTATTCTCTTTCCATGAAGGATGGGTCTTCCATTGTGATCGGTACCGTACTTAGGAAGCCTGGAACAAAGGAGTAAGCAAAGTGCCTCTGTGACCCCAGCACCTTTGGCTGTCTGGCCGCGCTGTGTGGGGCTGCTCACTTGTGCTCTCCCAGCCGGCTAGGCTGGGAGATGTCCTCCTGCCCCTTAATCCCCTAGCTCACACGTTCCTCACGCCCCCTGGGCTGCCAGCACTCTGGGGACTGCACCGATAGAGCTCCCCCAGAACATCCCCACCCAAGTGCACATGGCCATGTCACCCCACGTCAGAGATTACACTCCCACGTCTGAGATTTTGGCCGCACAGTTTCATCTCACCAAGTGTTTGATGCACAAACGCAAGGCTGGGAGGGACTGTTTGATTATTCTCATCCGTTGGTGAACCAGATGCACCTTGGGTCAAAGGGGTTTGGGAATTCCCCCAAACTGAAATGCAGCCAGCACTCAGCCATATCTTCCTGTTTGTAGTCAACTAACTACCTCACTAACTAGGATGAAACCTCATTCTGGCCTCTGCATCCCCCCTTCAGCATTGGTTCTCAGCTTTGGCTTCCTAAGAATCACCATCCTAATTCCGAGCCCTAATTCCCAGACTGCTCCGGGGTTAGAGTTCCAATGGCTAGAGTTCCGGGGCAATCCCAGTACACAGCCACAGTTAGGAAGCTGTGCTCCAGGGAAGGTGAGCCTCAGCAGTGCGGCCAACAATGGCAGGATGACTGTGCCTGGGCAGGAAGGAGCAGTCAGGGGCAGGGGAAAGCCACACTGGATAAAGGGACACAAAAAAATCAGGCTTTAAGTGTAAAGTAAGGCTCTCCTAGGATGTAGGGCACATTGTCCCAAGATATTAGCATCTAAGATTTCAAATTTCCTTAACAATTTCAATTTACTTTCAATTTACTTAACATCAGGACAGTGCTAAGGAAATTGGGATAGAAGATCAGCTAAGACCTTGGAATTGTGCAATGCTTCTATACCAGAGCGATCATCGTTGGGATCGTTGGGGAACAATTCTGCACAGGTCCCTCATGTGTCTGCACCCCATGTCAGCAGAGGCACTGACAAGTCCCTCTCTTGGGAATGTCTTTTCAAAGATGTTCATATAGCTTTGGAAGGTGGAGACAGTGCCTCCCTCTGGAGCAAAAAGGCAGACATGGTCAGCCGGTTGTAAGAGACTCCAGTTTCTTGGTGTGCCTCAGTGACTCTTGATTTCAGCTCAGGTCATGAGCTCAGGGTTCTGGGATTGAGCCCATCATCAGGCTCTGCGCTCAGCATGGAGTCTGCTTGAGACTCTCTCTCTCCCTCTACCCCGCCCAAATTCAAACTCATACTCTCTCTGTCTCTCTAAAATCAATTAATCTTAAAAAGAAAAAGACTCCAGTTTCTTGAACTCAGGCTTCTTCTGTTAGGAAGCAGCCTTCTGCACGTACAGGCATCTTGGAGGCCAACCCCCATTCATTGCCCCTATGGGACGTGGAGATGAAGGAATTGACACAAATATGCCAATGCTCTTGCTGCCTGCTGGGCCATGTAAGTAAGAAAATCCTTGGCCTCTGAAGTAGGAATGTAATGTTTTCTACTGGCACCCATGAGGTTTTGGCGGGCTAATGTGCAAGGCATGCAAAACGGCGGATCCTCCCCAATTTTGATTTGGAAGTGCATCTACAGCTAAGTCTGATCTGGCATATTAAGATTAGATTTTGGGGGCACCTGAGTGGCTCACCCAGTTACGCATCTGCCTTCGGCTCAGGTCATGATCCCAGAGTCCTGGGATCGAGCCCCGTATTGGGCTCCCTGCTTAGCACAGAGTCTGCTTCTCCCTCTCTCCCTCTGCCTCCCCACCATTCATGCTTGCTGTCTCTTTCTCAAATAAAACAATAAAGAAATAAATAGGGATCCCTGGGTGGCGCAGCGGTTTGGCGCCTGCCTTTGGCCCAGGGTGCGATCCTGGAGACCCGGGATCGAATCCCACGTCGGGTTTCCGGTGCATGGAGCCTGCTTCTCCCTCTGCCTGTGTCTCTGCCTCTCTCTCTCTGTCACTAACATAACTAAATAAAAAAATTAAAAAAAAAAGAAAGAAATAAAATCTTTTTTTAAATAAATCTTTTTAAAAAGTAGATTTTGAATCATTATTAGTTATGTGCCAATGAAACCTAGATATCAAGCAACTTTGACTTAAAAGAGAAAATTAAGCTAATCTAAAATTTAATTTTAACTTTAATAAGAAGTGTGTTTGGTCGTTTAAATTGGCAGCGGAACTCCAGCTGTGGTCCGAGAATTTCTGAATTCTGAGGGATTCATAGAGACCAGAGTTATAGCAGGGAATGGAAGTCCTTAAAAAGTTTCCAGCATCCCTACCTTTTCCAGAAAGGGAGGTGCTCTCTGGCTCTGGGGTCACCCCTGCTGGCACGTCTGTGGAGGATGGCCTTAGGTGAGTCAGGGAGGGGTCTCCTAGAGAGAGGATAACCACATGGCATTTATGAGCCTGAGGGTGGAAGCTGGAGTGCTTCACGACTGCATATAAATAAAAAATAAATATATAAATTTAAAATGGAGAGATCTGGCTTCCTGGGCTAAGTCAGAAGCACCAGAAAGAAACAACCAACAATGTTTCCCAATCTTCAATTCCCATGCAAATACAAACAGACTGCAAACTATTTTTCTTGCCTTTCAGAAAGACTGGACATGTATCAAATGTCTTTTTATTTTTGGTTAGAATGATACCAGTGAGATCAACTCAGTTTTATAATACCGTTTTTTACATGGGAAAGTAAATGACTACTCAGTAGATTCAGTTGTTTTGTAAGAAAGAAAAATAAAGCACATTCCCAAGCACAGGAGGTTAGGAAAAGTAATGGAGGGAGTTGTTAGGTGTAGAAGGTGAGGAATTCTTGGGCTACATGAAACCTAAAAATCCTCCAGTCTTTAGGTTCTAAAAGTCTACGATTCCAGGTCTATCCCCCGTTTTTCCTTTACCCCCCCCACCTCCCCACTAACCAGTTCAGAGCCTGCAACTCATCTCCATCTTGGATCCATTCACCCAAAGGAATTGGCACTTTGAAGAAATAGTCACTTGCCTGTGCTGGAAAGCCCTTATGTTTGCCCCTGGATGAACCCTCTGTGTCTTTGCCACAGTGTTATTGCTCATACCTGTCTTCACCCAGGTAGTTCATCACTTCAATGGCATTTGATGCCATGTGCCACTATGTTCCCCAGCTGAGCGATTCCTTTGCAACAAATAGAAGGCTTCCTCTTTGCCCTACCTCTGACGTCTGCATGACGTCATGCAGCGGGGAGGGGACAGGTGCACAAATCCAATGAGTTAAGTCTGGCTCTCCAAGGAATCTTACAGCAGAGTGGGTTTGCTCTAGAACCACCCCTTTTGTCCACTCCCCTGGAGAGGAATTGAGAATTTCCACGTATACAAGAAAGTATCTAGCTTACAGTTGGACATGTACCAAATATGCAGTAAACCATGAGTTAACGGTTATTTTTCTAGAGTAAGTGGCTTAGTATTCCTGGAAATAGCACTTTGGACTTCCACTCCAAGATTGTTGGCTTCTGACATAGTTATCCAGTTGTGGACGGTTAAAGAGAAAAAAATAGATTCTGACAACCATCCCTCATGTGGGCTCAGGAGTGCTGGCTGGACACCGGACATGAGGGACCAGGCTAAGGTAGTCTCTGCTCCTTGGGTAGCCCCCATTCTCCTGGGTGGGTAGCAACAGAGAACAGTAATAATTTCCCTACAGGCTGTCTTCCAGGGAGAGATTGGGGAAGCTTTCTGGGCAGCAAGGCTGCTGTGAGCACACACCCTTTGTAGTTGAAATCTTGCTACCGTAAGCATAAAGCATTGATATTAATAGTACAGGCATACCTCAGAGATACTAGGAGTTCAGTTGCAGACCACCACAATAAAGTAAATGTGGCAATAAAGCAAGTCAAGTGAATATTTTTGTTTGTTTGTTTCTCAGTGCCTAGAAAAGTTCTGTTTGCACTATACTGTAGTCCATGAAATGGGCAATGGCATTATGTCTAAAAAAAATCAGTATGCATGCCTTAATATAAAAATACTGCTAAAAATTGCTAATCGGTAGGGTAATAATCTTTGCTGGTGGTGGGGGTGGGGGTCTTGCCTCCATGTTGATGGCTGCTGACTGATTAGGGTGGTGGCTGTTGAAGGTGGGGTCCCAAAAAATAAGATACCGGTGAAGTTTGCCATGGCGACGGACTCTTCCTTTCATGAACGACTTCTCTGTAGCAGGTGGTGCTGTTTGATAGCAGCATTCTACCCACGGAACAACTTCTTACAGAATTGGGGTCGGTCCTCTCAAACCCTGCCACCGCTTTATCGACTGAGTTTATGTAATATCCTATATCCTTCCTTGTCGTCTTCACCAGAAGTAGATTCCATCTCAAGAAACCATTTTCTTTGCTCATCCATAAGAAGCAACTCCTCACCTGTTTGAGTTTGATCATGAGATTGTATCAATTCTGTACTATCTTTAGGCACCACTTTTAATCTGGTTTCCACCTCATCTCTTTCTGCCTTATCTCTTTCCACCTCATCTGCAGTGACTTTCTCCACTGAAGTCATGAGCCCCTCAAAGTCATCCATGAGGGATGGAATCAACTTCTCCAAAACTCTGTGAATGTGTATATTTGGGCCTCTTCCCATATTATGAATGTTCTTTTTTCTTTTTTTAAAGATTTTATTTATTTATTTGAGAGAGAGACAGAGATGCCAACAGAGAGAGCATGAGCTGGGAAGAGAGGGAGAAGCAGGGTTCCTGCTGAGTGGGGAGCCCAACTCAGGGCTCCATCCCAGGACCCTAGGATCCTGACCTGATCTGAAGGCAGCCCCTTAACTGACTGAACTACCTGGGTTCCCCAATCATGAATGTTCTTAATGGCGTCTAGGATGATGAATCCTCTCCAGAAGGGTTTTAATTTACTTTGCTCAGATCCATCAGAGGAATCACTATCTATGGCAGCCATAGTCATGTGGAATGCATTTCTTAAATAATAAGGCTTGAAAGTTGAAATGACTCCTTGATCCGGGGACCGCAGAATGGATATATTTTTTAGCAGGCATGAAAACAATATTAATTTCACTGTTCATCTTGACCAGAGTTCTTGGCTGACCAGGTGCTTTGTCAATGAGCAATCATATTTTGAAAGGACATTTCCTGAGCAGTAGGTCTCAACAGTGGGCTTAAAATATTCAGCCAACCATGCTGTAAGCAGATGTGCTGTCATCCAGGCTTTGTTGTTCCATTTATAGAGCGCAGGCACAGTAGATTTAGCATAAATCTTAAGGTTCCTGGGAGTTTTGGAATGGTCAGTGAGCATTGGCTTCAACCTAAAGTTCCAGCTGCCTTAGCTCCTAAAAGTCAGCCTGTCTTCGAAGCTTTGAAGCTTTGAAGCTACGCACTGACTTCCCCTCTCTGGCTATGAAAGTCCTAGATGGCCTCCTCTTCCCCTCTAAGGCTGTTTGTCTATGTTGAAAACCTGTTGTTTAGTGTGGCCACGTTCATTAACCACCTTAGCTAGATCTTCTGGACGCCTGGCTGCTTCCCTTTGCACTCTCCTATCATGGAGACGGCGTCTTTCCTTGAAGCTCAGGAAGCAACCTCTGCTGGCTTCAAGCATTTCTTCTGCAGCATCCTTACCTCTCTCAGCCTTCAGGGAATTGAAGAGAATCAGGGTGAGGCTTTGGCTCAGGGGTGAGTCTTTGGCTTATGGGAATGTTATGGCTGGTTTGCTCTTCTATTCAGACCCTTAAAACTTTCTCCTTATCAGCAATGTCTCTTTTGCTTACTTACCACTTGTGTGTTCTCTGGAGTAGCTCCTTTAGTTTCCTTCAAGGATGTTTCTTTTACATTCACAACTTGGCACACGAGGGCCTATTTTTTTTGGTCTATCTTGACTTGATGTGTTTTTTTTCACTAACCTAATCATCCCTAGTTTTGATTTAAAGAGAAAGACATGTTTCTTCCTTTCACATGAACATTTAGAAGCCATCATAGGGCAATTAATTAGCCTAATTCCAGTATTGTTCTGTCTCAAATGATAGGGAGGTCTGAGGAGAGAGAGAGAGGTGGGAATGGCCAGTCCATGGAGGAGTCAGGATACATATACAACATCAATTGATTAAGTTAACCATCTTATGTGGGTGTGGTTTCCGGTGCTCCAAAAGAATGACAATAGTAACATCAAAGATCACTGATCCCAGGTTACCATAACAGATATGAGAAAGTTTGAAATGCTATGAGAATTACTAAAATGTGGGATTCCTGGGTGGCGCAGCGTTTTGGCGCCTGCCTTTGGCCCAGGGCGCGATCCTGGAGACCCAGGATCGAATCCCACGTCGGGCTCCCGGTGCATGGAGCCTGCTTCTCCCTCTGCCTGTGTCTCTGCCTCTCTCTCTCTCTCTCTCTGTGTGACTATCATAAATAAATAAAAATTAAAAAAAAAAGAGAGAATTACTAAAATGTGACACAGAGATATAAAGTGAGCAAATGCTGCTGGAAAAATGGTGTCAATAGACCTTTTTGAGGCAGGATTGTCACAAACCTTCAATTTGTAAAAAACACAGTTATCTGTAAAGTGCACTAAAGCAAAACACAACAAGATGAGGTATGGCTGGAGTCAATATTGACCAGGTTTCACTTAACACTTTTGACCCACAATGTTGATGTTGGGTTCATTTTCTAGATGAGGAACAAAGACTTCCAAGATGGTAGTCCTGAGCCCTCACTCAAAGAACCCCATATTATGTGACCCTAAAGCCTATGTATTTCCAACTCTCAGGGGTGTTGTTTAGAGGCCCATTGGTTTATTTAGCCTCAGACGTCAACACAAATGCCTTGTCCCCCAGTAATGGGCTCACTCAGCTTCCCACACTACAGTTCTGCTCTCTGAACAGCTTTGGTATGGGGGATGGAGAGACTTGCAAGGATGACTACTTACTGATGCACTTGAGACTGGGGATTGTCCAGTGGGCAGTGTTGGTGGTCTTGTTGAGCACACACTCAGTCAGGCTGGATGTCCCGGCTTTCCGCTTGAAGCCAGAGTTACAAGAGTACCGTTCCTTGGAGCTCACGCTGTAACTCTTGACCTGGATATCTGCGTGTTCGACAGATGTGGGAGGAGGGCATGTGATGCCTGCAAGGGTGTAGATAAGAGAGGAGAAGTGAACACATTTCAGGTTGTTCAGAGGTGTTCTCCAGGGCAACTTGGGCAGCACTCAGCACCTCTGTAGCCAGCGTCTGGCTTTCCTAGGGGCCCTTTAGGATACACCCCACATTCTAAACATGTGAAACATTCAGTAAGGGCTCTTATCATTTAGAAGTCTTCCAGGGAGCCTTGTCTTTAGTGCTTGCCTTCCAGCATGGCTAGGGCTTGGGGAGTCACCCATGGAAGCCCCATTCCCTCCCCTTCACTTCCTATCAGTGTCTCACTGTATCTCTTTGGCCCCATCCAGCTGGGCCTCTGCACTCTCTTGCCTGAAAGCAGCAATAGCCTTTGGATTGGTCTCCCTGCCTGTCCTCCCTGAAGGCCTTAAATCCATTTCTGTAATATGGCCAGTCATCTTCAGAAATGCACGTTGGATGACTTCACTCTTTCCTGGTTGCCTGCTGCTCTTAGAATAAAAGCTAAAATCCTCAGGAGGTCTTCAAGGGTCTGCTGGACCCGCCTCCCACCCCACCTCCCCAGCTACTCTTCCCCTTGGCTGCACTGACCTTCTGTCCCCCCATGCCACTGTTCTCCCCAGCTCATCTCCTGCCATCCTTCCTAACTTGAACATGACTTTCTCAGGAAAGCTGCCCCCATTTCCCCTCCCCATCCAACCAGCCAGGTCCCATAGTTCTGTGTTCTCTCCCTGTACAGCCAGCCACATTCATGGTTGTAGTGAAGACAACGAGATGATGTAATAGCTGTATGTCTCATCATTTGCACTTTGAGCAGCAGAGAGTGGGAGCCACATCTGTCTTGCCCAGCACCATATTCTCTGAGCCTAGTACAACATCTGGCAAGAGACAGTGTTCAAGAAACAGTTGTTCAGAGAATGATGCTTATTATGCACCTGCCCTTTACCCCAGCAATTTCACTTCTAAGAATTTACCTTACAGATATACTAGTATACTTATGAAGTGAGCAGGTACAAAGTTATTGATCGTAATAGTCAGTATCTACAAATGACCTTGTATGTGGTCAGCAGGAGACTAATTTTAGTAAATTACAATACAGCTACCCCACGAAGAAGTACTACTCAGCTGTTTACAACAGATGGACTGAAGTGGAAAGGTCTCCAAGACACACACTCTTGGTTAGGAAGGAGAGGAACAGAACTCTGTGCGTTATGTGTCACCATCAGTGCAAAAGGAAGAAATGGTGGTACCTATACACAGCTTTTTGTCTGGACATAAAACCTCTGAAAGTATTTGAGGGACTATTAACCCTGGAGACGAAGCAGCTGAGAAACGCACAGGGAGAGACAGAGATTTTTTCCTGAATGTCTTTTTATACTTTGTTTGTTTGTTTGTTTTTTGCCTTTTCATACTTTTTGAATTTTTAGTGCCACAAATGTTTTATCTGCTAAAAATGCTTTTGAAAGTTTTTGCAATGCCCTGTGTCTTTAGCTGCTCTGTACATGGATGTTTATTATTCCCTTTTCCTTTTCATCTATTAATATATGCCAGGGTGAAAATTAAAATGAACAAGCAGTGCCACTCAGATATTCTGACCAATCAGGACAGCTGCTGGCAGTAATTGGGACAGGGGTGGGGTAGGAGTGGGGGCGGTAACCACCGGCCTAGCAGAATATTAGTTGTGCCCTATACTCATTCACTGTTTTAAGTATATGAAATATCTCATAATAGAAAGGTAGGTAGGGGAGGGGAGATTTTAAAGTACCCCGCCGCAGGAACTCAGAAATCTTGGTTGAGCCTAGGGCAAGAGAGGGATAAATGATGCCAAGTGTGGGTGTTTGGTGCTTGTGCTGTGATATGTCACCTGCTAAATGAATATGAGAAATGCAGGAGATTCTAGAATGAGGAATTTTTTTGCCTTTCTCTGAGTGAGTTAAGGCAGCTTGGGGAAAAATTGAAAGCAAGAAGATTTGCAGGGTCATCTGGGACGATTCTGGACACGCTTTTGGGAGACACCCCCCACCCCCCGTCACTGCCAGCAGACTTGCGGATGTGACAAAGTGCATGCTGAGTGATACCATTTATCATAAGAATGTTATGAAAAGAAGGTAAGAGCCAGAGCTAGAACGATTTGAGTTTTCTCTAATCTGTACAATTGTATCAAAAATGACCCCACTCCTTCTAATTAGACGTTGAAATATTTCAGCAAGATTTAAACTCCAAGGTTTTCTTCGGTATGAAACTTACTGGCTAAAGCCAATGTCCTGGGACCTGCTCAATCATGTACATTCATTTCATTTTCGTGGCATTTCTACAGATAGGTGCTCAGTAGATCCTCAGGATAAGCCCTACAACCGGTCTGATGGCTTGTGGGCATGACACCTAGGGAAGTTCTCTGTCCTCATGTCTGGGTTTTGGAATGTACCAGGAACAGACAGCTCTAGTCTGAAAGTCTGACAAGTTAGCTAGCTGAGTCTGAAAGGACGGTAAACAGACCAATTCCCAAGTGGATGAGGTGAGCTCAGTCACCTACCCAGATTAGATTTTGGTGCTAGGTCCGAGGGGGACAGATTCTGGAAGATGCAACTGTCTTCTGCAGCTCTGCATATTATAGTGAGGATTCTGGCTTCTGGAACATGAATCCCCATCCATCCTGGAAAAATGTAATGTCTCTGATCTTAACCTGGATGTTCTAAGAAGGCTTGGTTTCCTTCTGCATCCTTCAAATAAGCCCCTCTTGTTTGATTTACCCAAATAGTATCTGTGTCTGCTTTCCAGCAATCTGAGCCTTCTTTTGGTTGGGCAGGATCTGGAGTCAGCTTTGACTAGCCATGGGCCCCCAAATGGCACTTTCTCCTTCCTTCCTACCTACTTCCTGTAGGTTGGCTTGTTTCTGCCTAGAAACCCTAGCTTTTGGGACTAGGGCCCTGACCCCTCTGCCCAGGTCTTGCTCATCTTTTCCTCCAGAGAGCAATCCCTGGATTGCTACACTACCTAGTTGCTGGCTTAGGTTTGGATGTCCAAGAACAACTGCCAGAATCACCAGGACACTTCTTGCCTGGATCCCTTATGCCATTTCCCACTGGCCAGGTGGGCCTCTGTAGGTATTAGAATCAGAGGATTCCACCCCCAAATTCAGAATGTGGTCAGAACAACCTTCTCTAAGTGCCTGGCAGCCTGCAGATAGACCAGCCCGTTGGTGGGTCAGCTGTCAGATTCTCCCCCACTACTTCACAAAGGCCTCCCATGTGGGCTCTCCTGGCTGGGGTTCCAGCATGTCTCATGCCTGAGCCCACCTGGGCTATGACAGCCCCATGGGTCAGGAAAGCCCAGGCCTTACTTTGGTCTTCCTAGTCTCAAGAAAGGAAATGGATTATTTGACTTTCGTTCTTAATCTAACCACTGACTTTCTTTTAAAATCCCATCAACATCTAATCTTAGATTTTTGTATAATATAATATACATCTGTGCTGTTTATCACCGATATCAGACTATCAGCATGATGATCTCAATGTTCTCTCTTCCTTCACGCGGCTGCTGGAGCGGATGCAAACATTCCCCTTTCCTTTTGAGTAAGGTCATAAGATAATCTTCACTTTAACTTACTAGTCCTCTATTATTTCCTTACTATTTCTATAAATAAAGTTAATAGAAGAGAGAAGAAATCTATCTGCTTAGATTGACTTCCTTTACCATCTCCTCTCTCTCTCTCTCTCTCTCTCTCTCTCTCTCTTCCCCCCATCTTGTCTTTGGGATGTATCCTGTTTGCCCGTATCCCTGCCAAGATATTTTTATTCACCAGGTAGCCCTCAAGTTCCATTTTAATTTCAAATAATGTTCTGGATCTACTGATCTTCCCTCTCTCAACTTTTTTCAGTCTGTGTTGTTTTCTGTATTTTTCCCAGATTCGGGATTTTTGTCCACAAAAACCATTCTGCATCTTCTAAGTGTTGATATATTCTCCTCCACTTAGAATGGTGGTTTTCAACTTTCAGCATTTCTGACACACTTTGAAATAAAACATTTGTGACCTGTCCCTCAAGATGACTTTAAAAAGCCAAGGCAGTGGTGACCATATCAGCAAGAGTTATAAAGACTCACAGCGACAGTAGGAGGGCATCAGTGCTAACATGTGACTCATCCAGTTGTCCTTTGGAGCTGGTGGCTGTGTGTGTGGGACAATTTATTGAGTATATGAGAACTCAGAGTTCTTACAGAGTTCAATAAATATGTAATCTTCTTTGTGGTAGCTTGACTTATTCCCCTTACCTTAGATTCATAGCAGATAGTGCCCCTCTCAGCTCAACACCCCTATTGCCAAACATTGCTGTCCTTGTCATATTCACTTTAGCAGCAGTGAATGTGACACATCAAGTAGGGAAGAGGTCACAGAAAGCAAGTTATATGCACGGTTGAGAACCACTGTTTTAGAAGGAAACGCAAGCTGGGACAGACACTGAGTAAACAGTGACTGGCTTATGGTCCCTATAGATTCTCTTCTGAAGCCCATCTCTGCTGTTAAATCTGAGGGCCAAGATCTAGAATCACTGTCAACGCTTCTTTTCTCCTTGATAGTCTATAGGAACTAGTTGTCATCAATGAGAAAGACAGATGCAGTCCAGGTTTCTCACCACTGGAGGAAGAAGTTGTAACTATGGAACAAGGGAAAGGATGACTGGAATGTACCCATGATGTTAGAAGAGAATTGGGGTCAGAGATGTCGTATGTAATCACTGTGTGTGTTCACCTGCGTGTGTACATATGTCTGTACATGGCAGTGTGTATGTGCAGGTGTGTTTGTGTGTGCATGCTTTAGCACTGTCCTTTTATGATGCCTAGAAGCACTGACATATTAACAGTGAGCATACTTGGTGCCCAGATCTTGGTCTCCACTAGAAGAAACAATGGCTACTTAGAGAAAAGGCTGATACTTGATCTCAATAAAAGATCAACATGCTGTTTTACTTATCTTAAAAATATTTTATTTATTGAGAGAGAGAGAGAGAGCACACA